CTGTTCATGTCTTCTGCCCATTTCTTGATTGGATTATTTGTTCTTTGGGTGTCGAGATTGCTAAGTTCTTTATACAGTTTGGACACTAGCCATTTATCTGATATGTCATTTGCAAGTATCTTCTCCCATTCTGTCAGTTGTCTTTTGGTTTTGTTAGAACTTTCTGGTTTCTTATTCGTGGCTACATTATTTATAAAACTTTCTTCCTTGAACATCTCTGTTGAAGTTTGAATTAATAGCAATACGACAGAGGATTTATTTTTGTAAGGCAAGAAACTTGGAGAAGACTGGTCCCATCAATGGGCAAAACCAGGTAAATTTCACTTCCTTTCAAAGGAAAATTGAATTCGAAATTAGAGCTCTGTCAGCGTTCAAGGTGGACTGTCAGGTGCCTGAGGCATATGTTTTCCAGGGTTTCTGTCTCTGCAGTAAACTGGAGGAAGTTAAGATGGGGTCAGATGGGCCAGGTCCCCTTCAATGCAAGAGTCCTCCGCAGTTTCTCCTCTGCCTTCGAGAGTGGGTTGAAAATATCCTTTTTCTGCTATTCCTACTTCTCTGCTTTAGATCAAAGATATACAACTCAGTGTTTCCTACTCATAAATTGATCATTATAAGAATAGGCTGGAAGAGTTAGTACAAATACCAGTTCATAGTCCTGGTTTCTAGCAATTCTGATTCAGTGGGCTTACATGGGGCCTGGAATCTACTTACTGCACTCAGGTGTTTAGTCAGTTTGGAGACTCTCTGATATCATTGGTGTCCCTTACAGTTCTTCAGAGTGATGATTTCATATATATTAGGACTTCTAGTCTTCAAAATCAACTTGTCAAGGAAGTATTACATTTTCCTGGTTTGCAGATGAAGAAACCAAGTCACAGAGAGGGTCTGTAACTGGCCCAAGGTCCCCTTGCTGTAGGTGCTGGGGCCAGGTGTCAGGTAGAGCCCCCTCCTACCCCAAGCCCCCTTCCCGCATTTTCCATTCACTCCTATCTTTCCATATAGGTGCTTCCTTTGCCTAGACCTCATTCCTGCCCCAAACCTCCTGGATTAAACTTTTTCATTGGAAAAATATCTTCACAACAAGCTAATAGCATATTGTTCTGACCACTAGCTATTAATGTGAGATATGGTGCTTAATAAAAATACTTTTGCTTTCACATCTCCAATTAACATCAATATATGGTACAAAGTGGGTTTTAATATTAACTTATTTTTTAATAGATGTTCATCCATTCCACTTACTTTTAAGGAAAGTACTTCGTATTCTGGTGAAGCATACTGGTGACTTTATTTTAAAAATCAAATAATTGAGGGGCACCTGGAGGACTCAATAGGTGGGGCATGCGACTCTTGATCTCAGAGTTGTGAGTTCAAGCCCCATGTTGGGTGTAGATTACTTAAAAAGAAAATAATTGAAAACAATAAAATTAAAATTTATAAATGTATATGTGTATCAGGAAATTTTTTACTCTCTACCTTCTCACATTGATATATTTACATTGTGTTTCCTTATACCATAACGAATGCCTTAATTACTGTAGCTTTATCGTGAGCTTTGAAATTTAGTAAACTTCTCCATTTTAATTCTTCGAGGTCAACTTGGCTATTCTAGGTACCCTGATTTCCATAGACATTTGAGAATTAGCTTGTAAATTTGCCCCCCAAATGCCTTCTCCAGTATGAATCAGAATAATGCTAATTTGATATTCCAACAATATTGAGTCTTCTAATCCCTGACTGTAATATATATTTTTCCAATTATTTAGATCTCCTTTAATTTATCTCAGCAATAGTTTTCAGGGATCTTTGTTATATGTGTTCTTATGCATTTAATTGTGGTGGACTTGCATCTCTATTCTGTCTATTGAATTTCATTTCCTTTTTTTTTTTTAATTTCACTTTCTAAATGCTCACTGCTAGTATGGAGAAATACAGTAGATTATTACATGAATGTTACTGAGGTATAATTTAGGTACAGTAGACTGCATCACTTTAAAGTGTACAATTAAGACTATACTTTGAGGGATCATTTCTACAGTTTGTTACTACAGAAGTTTCTCTGAACGTGTAGAGTACCCGAAACCATGAGGAGGAGGTGCAGTGTTCTCTCCTGAGCATGAAGCTGGCTTTAGGTGTTGTTTCCACAACTGCCAATTGCCATTGATGATCGTTCTCCTCCTCCTGTGGAGGAGTAAGAGAGAGAGGACGCAGTGTGAGTGCTTTCTCAACAAAAGAAAAATTTAAAAAGATAAACTGTACTACTGAATGCATTTTCACAGATGTACATACAATTGAAAGTACTGCTCCATTCAGGACACAGGGCATTTCCTCTACGTCAAAGCTTCCCTTGGGTGGCCCCATTGAAGTCCCTCACTGCCTTCACCCCCAGCCCCAGGCAACCACTGGCATCAAAGTGGGCTTGCATTTTTAACAACATTATGTAAATGGAACTCTTGTATGCCTACATTCCTTTCTGCAGCCTAAGGAGTCTAAAATGTATCCATATTACTACATGGATCACCAGTTCAAACTTTTTTATTGCTAAGTAGTATCCCTCTGTGTGGATATATTCTGTCTGTCCTTTCACCTATTAATGGACATCTATGTAGTTTCCCGGGTTTAGCCATTGTGAATAAAGCTATGATGAATATTCATGTGCGGTTTTTTGTGCGGCCATATTGTGTATATACTTATGAGAGGAACGGCTGTTGATGTGATTGGTAAATGTTGACCTGTGGTTCAGCTTTTCTCAGTGGTTGGACCATTTTTCATTCCCACAAGTGTATGCAACTTCTAGTTACTTTACATCCTCACCACATGTGTTTTTTTAGCCACGGGGATGGAGGTGTAATGGTAACTCTCTATAGTATTAATTTATCACCCCAATGCCTGAGTGTGCTGTCGAAAACTGACCTCTGTGCTTCAGAGCAAAAATAGAAGACAAAGATAGAGTTTGGAATATTGAGGAACAATAGCTTTATTGCTTTTCGGGGGACAGGAGGCTAGAACAGGCCAAGGCCCTGAAAACTGTAAGTCCCCTCCCCCCGGAGGCAGGGGCAGGGGGGTGGTTTATTTTGACAGAAATTGTGTGGTGCTGCCAGCCTCCTTCATCATGTCTTTAGGGTGGTACCAGGCTCCTGAAACAAAAGGCTTAGAAGGTCGGAGTGGAGGTTTGCAGAAGAGAAGGAAAAGGTTACTTCGTTTAAAATTGAGCCTTGCGGAGACGTTAGTGAAGTCATTTTGATTTTTGTTCAACTTTATGCTAGTAAGTGGTTTCAAGCGGAGCATCTTTTCAAGTGCCTTTTGGCCATTTGTGTATCTTCTTTTGTGAAGCATTTCTTCTTCTTCAAAAGCAAGTCTTTTGACCAGTTCTCCTACTGCATTGTCCATCAGACACAATCTGTGTCAGAACATTACACTGAAAACTACAGAGCATTACTTCAAGAATTTAAAGAACTAAGTACATGGGGAGATAAAATTTGGGGTGGACTGGAAGACTCATTATGGTTTAGATGTTCATTCTTCACAAATTGATCAACACATCTAATACAGTGCCAATCAACATTCCAGCAGATATTTTAGTAAGTATTTAAGCTGATCCAAATGTTTATATGGAAATGCAAATCATCTTGAATTATCAAAGCAATGTTAAGAAGAAGGAGAAAGCGACAGACTTACGTTGTCTATTCCAGAATTACTGTATAAATATTTTTGGAATTTAAAAGTGATTGGTCCTATTATTATTCAGTGTAAGAATTTCTGCACCTTCTCACTGGAGTTTGGATGTTGCTTTACCCCTTTTTCACTCTAGTTACTTGATCTAAAATTTAGCCAATATTTCCACAGTTTTTCAGTGGGGAGAGCATACTGAAGCTAGAAAGCATTAAACTTCACAGAGAGAAAGACAGATCACTGATCATGAGGGCAAGGAGGACCCTAGAAGACTTAGCGAACTTGCCTCTATTTCCTCAGTTGGCCAAGACAGAGGGGGGAGCTACTGATAGCAGCAGTTTCCTCTGCAGAGCTTCACGGTGTTGACTGCTTTGGGCTAACATGGAACCTAGGTGTTGGCTATGTCCTAGAGGCTGAAATCGGGTCGAGGTCCAGGGTCCCTGAGCCAGGACAGGGCATCCAGTTGTTGGAAAACACAGAGGGAGACCAGCACAACCACTGAGACCATCCCCAGGCAGCACTGGCCACTTCCTCCAAGGAATCGACCACCACTACACTTCTCATGACTTCTACTTACTCAACTGAGAGCCCTACGAGAATTGGGATAATGTTTTACTCATCTCTGTACTCATGACTCCTAGGACCAAACCAAGCACTGAGGAAGCTCTCAGAGACATCCCTTCACTGATCCGATCCAGGTGGTGGCAAATCTCGAATCTCAACTACATTCCTGTCCCAAATAGCCTGCAGAAATGCTCTCTGCTTTCTTCCAGGAGGCAACAAATACCCTTCCTTAAAGGGGAGCCTGCCCTACACTCTCAATGCCCCATGACCCTCCCCCGTGGTGACCTCTGATGAAGAGAGGACGGTCCTCTTGGATTCCTCTCAATGGTTCTGTCATTAAGAAGAGATGTCCTCAGGGGCGCCTGGGTGGCTCAGTCGGTTAAGCGACTGCCTTCCGCTCAGGTCATGATCCTGGAGTCCCGGGATCGTGTCCCACATCGGGCTTCCTGCTCGGTGGGGAGCCTGCTTCTCCCTCTGACCCTCCCCCCTCTCATGTGCTCTCTCTCTCTCATTCTGTCTCAAATAAATAAATACAATCTTTACAAAAAAAAAAAAAAAGAAGAGATGTTCTCGGCGTAGCCCCATCCCCACTCCATCCTCTGCACTGCCACCATACCCCAGGTTAGGAGAGCTACAACAATTTTTAAAAAGATTTCATATATTTATTGGAGAGAGAGAGAGTGAGGCACAAAGCAAGAGTGAGAGAGACAGAAAGATAGAGAAGAGCTGGGGAAGGGACAGGGAGAAGCAGACTCCACTGCTGAGCAGGAAGCCCCCCCGCCCTGCCCATGGGGTTTGATCCCTGGAGCCTGGGATCATGACCTGAGCTGAAGGCAGACTCTCAATGAACTGAGCCATCCAGGTGTGCTGAGCTACAAGGTTTTGTTTGCATTCTTCCTCTCACTGCTTTGACCTCCTCAGTGAAATCTTATTGATGTCAGAATTCCAACTTCTTAACACACACTAAGGAAAATGAAACACTCAACACACAGTCAAGACATATTATGTGTAAAGACTTTTGATACCATAAATTGAGAAGAATATTATTGGTATCACTGCCTCAGAGGCAAGGGTCTCCTACCCTGGCCCTTCCTGACCTTAGGGCAGAACTAGTTGCAGTAAGAATGGACATCTCCAACACTTATCCAAATATCACTGAACCCTCTAAGCCCACACTTACTTGGAGGACATCCACGGTGAGAGCAGCTCCAAGGTCAAAGCTAGGGGTCTGGGGCAGAGCCTCATGGTCACATCCTCCTCCTCCTTTTTTTTTTTTTTTTTAGATTTTATTTATTTATTTGACAGAGAGAGACATAGCGAGAGAGGGAACACAAGCAGGGGGAGTGGGAGAGGGAGAAGCAGGCTTCCCGCCGAGCAGGGAACCCGATGCGGGGCTCGATCCCAGGACTCTTAAGATCATGACCTGATCCGAAGGCAGATGCTTAACGACTAAGCCACCCAGGCAGGTGCCCCTCCTCCTCCTCTTGGAATTGGTGTTTCCCAACAGTACAAACCAACACCGATCCATCTGGCGGGGCTCCTCAGCAGGTGCACAGGTTCACCGTGGACGAAGTTACTCCCCTAGTTCTCCGTGCTCAGCTCCGGCTGCTCCTTGCACAGTTGGATGCTGCTGTATGCATTCCTCAGTTTCCCGATTTTTCCGAACTGAACTTCTCCTTATTCTTACTTCCTTTGGCAACCTCCTTCAACACCATTGCCTTGTCCTTCCTTGGGTTATTCTCATCCTTCAAACCTGCTGATTTTCTGTCTTCCATCTGCTCCCTCCGTTCTCTGTTTTCAGTGTGGACTCAGCTCAGGCTCCTGCAGGAGACACACAGTGAAGGGACCAAGTAAGGTTTCAGCTGCAGTCCCCAGGGCTGCTTAACAGGCACCTCAGTCCTTCGTGTACTCATAGAAACTGAGCAGGAAGGGACTTTGGAGAATTTGAATAACAACCTTATCTTACCAATGAGGAAACTGAGTCCCAGAAAGATTAAGAGATTTTCCCAAATTCCTTTGTCAGTTGATGGCAGCAGAGCCCCCCCACAGGCCTTGGCTGCAAGCTTCCCTGTCGAGGCACCTAAAATACCCCCCGGGAACCCACATCTAAATTTCAGGGGACACTGAAATTAGAAGTTCAACTTAAAAATAAATAAATACTTTTCAGGAGACTTTGGATCCAATGTAGATATTTCCATTGTTAAAAATACCAGAAAGTCCTTCCTGGGGACAAATCTTTTCTCCCAGGTATATAATTCTGTTCCTTCTTTCACTTTCAAATCATTGGCTAAGAGATTAGGATCACAGAAAAGGTATGCAGGGAAGGACAAGTTCCTCTGTTACCCATCCTGTCTTCCAGCTTAAGTAAGAATTAAGTTTACCTGAGTGGGAGTGATTCAATTTACATTGAATACGCATGGAGAAGGGATATTGAAATTGAGACTTTAAAGAAATATAAAGTATTAAGGCAGACAGTTTTTATGCATTTTAGACAAGGAGGCAATACATTTCTGAGGGATTTTGGGGAACTTTAATTTGGAGAGCGTCTACGCCAAATCTAGAACCTCTGCTTTAAAGTCCTTGGTGAGAAGGATGTCTTTTTACTTCTTAGTATGGGGGGTGCCTTTTTCATATGAGAGATTGGTTTCCTGCTTTCAGGGAGACAGAGGAGAGTTTGAGTGTCCTTGCACCAGTTTCTTTTCGAGTAGCTTCAATTCAAAATACTCAGTATTGTCGACCTCAGAGAGTCGTGGACCTGGGGCAGTGAAGGAACTGAGAAATAGAGACGACAGTATAGCGAGGCACAGGGGACCCTGAGCAAACAGCCCGAGGTGCCGAGGTTTATTTTCCATAATCTAATATACCTTCTACAATGATATAGCTCTATAATGATTTACAGCAGGGGCTTAATAAGGCACATTCTTCCATGTACACAGGGTTAGTTAAGTGAAGCAATGGGAGTGGAGAAGGAGTAAAGAAATCTGTAACTGGCTGTCATCAGTTGTAAACACCATTGTACTCAGACCTTAACACAGGATAAGAGAACTAAGAAGGGAATGCACAGTGTGCTGTTTACAGCTGGCTTCCTATCTACGAAACATCTTCTGCTGTGTACTTTAGAACAGAGCACATACATCCCAAGGGCATTTCACTCTGATCCTTTCCGGTTATTTTTAACCCTGCAATCTCGAGTTTTCTCAGAGATCTCGGAGTCTGAGTGAACATGCACCAGCGGTCGTTGTGGCGTTCTGTTTCCCACAAATATGCCATTGTGGTACATTTTGGGCAATCTGACCTTGGCGCCTATGGGTACCATGGTTTCTCTCAGCCTTGCTCATTACTCAGTGCCTATTTCAGAGAGAAAGCTAAACATATTATTCTTAGAAATACCAAGGCGCACGTGGGTGGCTCAGTTGTTTAAGTGTCAGTCTGTGGCTCAGGTCAGGATCCCAGAGTTCTGGGATAAGCCTCAATGTCCAGCTCCCTGCTCAGTGGTGAGTCTGCTTCTCTCTGTCCCTCTCCCACTCCCCCCACCACCACTCCTGCTCTCTCAAGCACTCTCTCTCAAATAAGTAAATTAAAACATTTTAAAAAGCAATGCAATGGTCCTCTCTGGAATCAACCCACTTAAAGCGTGCTTTCTTTTTGCTGACTCCCAGTCCCCCCATTTCTCTTTATTACCTGTCTGACCTACATCCTTCCCCCAGTGATGGAGCCGGCTCAGATGCACTGCTTAACCTGGAGGTGGGGCCAAAGAGAAGTGCACACATGGCTAGAATGGGCTGCCTTGAGAGTGAGCCATAACGTAGCTGCTGGCAGTTAGAAATGAGCCTAAAGGACCATTAGGAATAAACACTGTGATATTTAGTGGTATGGATTTTAGGTGTGGTATTGATATGAACTTCCTCGTACAAATGTGTTTAGACTCAAGCATGAGAACATGGGATCAGACAAAATGAAAGAAAACTGTGTCAAGTGTGAAGATACTAAGTTACCAAAGTTACTCTGAGTAGTATAATTAGTTTGTCCCTTAGCCCCTCATTTCCACCTGCAGAACCTAGAAAACGATCAACAGAGTCTCCTCTTGCCATCAAAGTCAATCTGAGGACACAATAATTTAAACTGTTAACCCAAACTTTCCATTTTTTTCTTAACCTGTGTTGAATACCAGGCATTTTGATTGCCCATTCCCATTTTCAATGAGACTGCAGTGAGGACAGACAGTGAAGTGGTGCATCCAGGTAATATTCTGTTTCTTGGTTTACTTCTGTGCTCAGCGTGTCAACTTTTGTCTGCCAGTGGACCTCTGACCACACACGGGAAACCCAACAAATATTAAAAGTGTAGGTTCTCTGGGTTGATGTACATTTAGGATTCTGTAGGGCTCTGAATGGCTCTTGATCTGCAAGGACCAAGGTAGATGCCACCTCCTTTCCTTAGGGGGAGTAATTCTGATTCCTGAAGCATGCCCCTGTTCATTTTTTATGTATTATTATTATTTTAATCTCAGCTAGGCTCCATGACCAACGTGGAGCTCTAACGCATGACCCTGAGATGAAAAGTTGCACGCTCTACCCACTGAGGCAGCATGAGTTCCCCCAGCATCTTTGAAGCAGGCATATACCATGATTTTCATGTTGGCAAAAATAGTTCAAACTCTGGGACATGCCTTCAATCTGCTCCACCCCTTCTGGGCATGTTTCCTGAGTTCCTGCTGTGTGCGAGTCCTCTTTCCCACCCACCCATAGGAGACCCTCTAGGAACCCAATCCAGATCCCCTGGGATCTCTGTGGTCCTTTCTGTGTTATCCTCTCCTGCTCTCAGTGTGTTTGTGCTTCTAAAGACACCTGTGAGTAGGACTGTTTTGGGGGCTTCTGGAGCTTCTTTGTACCCAGTCCCAGAGAATGGGGAGTACATGCAGTATATGACCCCCAGCCCAAGGTATCTCCCCTCCCCAAAGGCACTCAGCCCTTCACTAACAGGTGCAGGAGGGTGAAATCCCCTTTCTTGGCCCGGGGGAGACTAATTGTAAAACACAAGTGACCCCCAGGTTCTCCTGACCTGTCAGGACAAAGCTTCCCCACAGTTGTTGCTGGAAATCACACCTTACACAGCAATGAACTCAAAATGGTCACAGACCTAAGTATAAGAGCCAAAACAACAGTTCAAGAGGAATACGTGGGAGAAAATGGTCAGGAATTTGCATTAAGCAAAGAGTTCTAAATCACTACAGCAAGAACAGGATACGTAAGAGAAAATTGAAGATGAAGAACTTTTTTGCATCAAACTTTACCACTGAGAAAAGGAGTAGAGTAGCCACTGTTTAAGAGAAAATATTTGTGGATTAAATACCCAATGAGGACTCACATTCACAAGAGACAAGAGTACTTTGAACTCACTCAATGAGCAGAAGCAACACATTTGTTAAAGCCAGAATAAGACTGGAAAACACATGTTACCCAAGAAGACACATAAGTGGTTCATAAGCACATAAAAAGGTAATCAATGTTATTAGTCCTCAGGGAAATGCAAGGAAAACCAGGTACCATTTTACACCAACTAGTGTGCTTATGTTCCAAAGACAATACCAAGTGGTGCTGAGAATGTGGAGAAACTGGACCGTCCTATATTGCTGGTGGGAACGTAAAATAAGAGAACCCCTTTGGGAGCTACTTTGAGAGTTCTTAAAAGTTTAACACAAGCTTCCCATAGGTCCCAGCTATTCCACAACTAGAAATCTACATGAGAGAAGCAAAAACATATGTCACTCAAGTCTCGTTCAGAAATGTTCGGGGCAGCGTTATTCACAACAGGAAAAACCTGACAACAACACAAAGGGTCATCGGCTGGTGAATGGACAAACAAAACTGTGGCCTATCTGTACCATGGCATCTATTTGGCAACAAAAGGCAGAGAAATCTGATCCAAGCTACAGCATGGAGGAACCTGAAAAGGATGCTAAGTGAAAGAAGCCAGTCACCAAGGACTACGTATTGTCTCATTCGGTTTATGCAAAGTGTCCAGAAAGGAGCAATGGACCAAGACAGAAAGCAGATCAGTGTTGCTTGGGGATGAAGGAGGGAGCGGAGATTGTCTGTAGAGGGGTTGGACGGGGTGTGGGAAGGTGAAGGAAGCCTCTGAAACAAACTAGGGCACTAGCTGAACACCTCTGTCATTGTAGGGTACTTTTACAATGGGTGAACTTTATTGTATGTAAATTTCACCTAAAAAAAGAAAGAAGGTGAGAGTCCCACATCAGTGGGTCCTGGGGTCCCCAGGCAAACACTGCCTGGGGAGGGGCCACATCCTGGAGTCCCAGCAGGTGGTGACTCAGAGCTTGGTTTCCTGACCTCCCAGCTGGAGTCAGGGATTCAGTGCCTGTGCCTTCAGCCTCCGCCCCCGCAGTTCCCCTGGAAACCACCAGGCGGCAGACGACTTAAGGGAGGGGCCCTCCAGGTGGCCCAAGGAGACCAGGGGGCAGCAGGCAAAGACAGGGGCACCAGGTGGCTGGAGATTGGAGGAGGAAGTGAGGGCTGCTGGACCCATGGAAGCCGCTGGCAAGATCTGGATGGATCTTAAGTAGGTTTGGTCCCCTGGGTGGGCTCTAGCCACCAACCTTGAGGGTAACAGCTCCCTCCTGCACTGGCACCGATGCTCCCCTCCGCCGCTCAGCATAGGGAAGAGCCTGTGTTGTTATTCACCTTCTTCTGAGTCTAAATGGAACACTTTGGGCTGGGTTTAGGGGAATCTGCCCTTTTCTGGCTGTCTATATAGGACCAGGCCCTGGGTGCTGAGCCATCCCTGCAGGGGCCTAGAAGGGGCGCTCTGGTCCTTCACATTGGAGCTGGGCTTGCAAAGAAGGGTTCCTGCTAATCCATATTTCCCTGGCCTAGGCTGGGCATCCTGGTCCAAGATCAGGGGCTGCAGTGACCTAAAATAAGGAACCTCCTGTGTGTCACTGCTCCTCTCTGCAAAGTCCGAAGAAGGCCCATGGTAGTGGTGGGGGGAGGGGAGGGCACAGACTCCTACACTCTGTCAAGACACCGTCCACCGTGAAGATTTAAAAAAAATGTTAGAGGACAGATCTCCTATTATATAGGTAACAGCTCTGCGTGGTGACAGAGGGTAGCTACACTTGTAGGCAGCCTGACATAATTTATAGAGTCGTCCAATCACTGTGTGTCATGTGAAACTGATGTCACATGGGGAATCCACTATGAATCAATTAAAAAAAAAACCTGAAGATGAGGGGGAAACATTTGAAAAGGAAGCAATGAAACTATAGTTGACTGGGGAACAACATGGGTTTGAATTGTACCGAACAATGTGGGTCCGCTCACGGGTTGATTTTTTTTTTTACAAATATAGTCTAGTACAAATATAGAAAATACACTTTCTCTTCCTAATGATTTTCTCAATGATATTTTCACTCTAACTGTACTGAAAGAATAAAGTATATAATACAAGTAACATACAAAATATGTGTTAATCAGCCCCGTTTTTGTTATCTGTAAGACTTCAGTAGGGTATTAGTAGTTACGTTTTTTGGGGAGTCAGAAGTTATACACAGATTTTCAATTGTGGGACTCTGTACCCCTAAGCCCCAGGTTGTTCAAGGGACAATTTGTATCTGTATTTGCAGATGACATGCTCCTGTATACAGAAAAATACCAAGTACACACACACACAACCCGACCACTAGAGTCCATAACCTAATTCAGCAGAGTTGCAGGGTACAACACAGACAGAGCAGGTGTTTCTATACCCTAGGATTGGACACTGGGAAAAGTCAATTAAGAAGACAATTCCATGTACAAAAGCACCCATCAGAATAGTATCTAGGAATAACTGAGTCAAGGAGGCACAAAACCTGTACACTGAAAACTACAGAACATTGCTGCAAGAGATTAAAGAAGACCTAAACAAGTGGAAAGATATCGTGTGTTCACGGATTGGAAGAGTTAAGGTAGTTAAGAAGGCAACCCTCGAATTAAGAGGGTTCCTGTTGCTTAGTCTATCTGTTGGGCACAGTCTCTATTCCCAGCACTGTGTGAGCACCAGGCCCTGTGCAAAGGATTGCCCCCTGACTTGCTGTCCATGCCAACCCAGGGCCCCTCCACAGCTCTGGCTAGTGATTTCCTGCAGCTCTGTCCTCCCTGGGACTCAGTCCTGGGGTCTCTCAGATCAGTGTCCTCGATTCCAGGAGGTCCACGGGGCTCCTCTTCAGGTTCCCCTCCCCCCAGTGCCTTGCTTGGAAACTCTCTGGAGCCAGGACCTCTGAGCAGCTCTAGGGCTCCGCTCACCTGTGTCCGGGATGGCTGTCCCCTTTGCCTGATGCCCAGGATCTTGGAAATCTCCATTTCGTGCATCTTGTGTGGCGCTGTTGCTGTTTTGTTTAATCGTTTCAGGCAGAAGAGTAAACCAGCTCCTGAGTCCCAAGTGGTGTGGCTCCCCTAAGTGAAAATCAAAGTTGGAAAACCATCAGTTGTAGATTCTGAATAGAGGCCTTTAGGGAGTAGAGAAAAAACACCAGCTCAGCTGAAAGCATGAAGCCAGAAACCCCTTCAAGCTCAGATTTACAAAGCAAAGCAGCTACAGCAGTAGGGACAGTTTTTGCTTGAGCCCGAGAGCTGCAGAAGGCCCACGGCCCCTTGTCCAAGAGCTAACCTCCTGTTTGGGAAAGGTCTGTGGTGCCAAACCCAAGGGTCCTTTGGGAGTAGGCAGACCTGCCTCTCTAAAAGCCTGTCAGGGGGCGCCTGGCTGGCTCAGTCCAGAGAGCACGGGAGTCTCCATCTGGTTTCGTGAGCCCGATCCCTACTTTGGGTGTAGAGATTACTTCAACAAATAAACTTATAATAAATAAATAGTATATCAAGCTGGACCGTCTCTAGTCTCGGAAGGGTCCTCTGGAGCAAGGCTGAACTAGGTAGGCTACCAAGTAGCCTAATCAAGGATAGGGAGGCTGGGGATTGGGTGAGGCTTTGCAGGGTGCCTGGTGGGATACGTGGGGAGGGGAGGGAGGAAGGAGAAGGGACGCCTCCCTGTGTTCCGTGGGGAGTGAAAAGAAAGCCCCTTCGCTGTATCAGGGACTGCAAACCACGTACTGAAATATAAGCAGAGACACTGCTCTGCGAGAAACAGAAAAAAATCCCGACAGCCAAAGTGGGATGTATGACCTGTGGACAGAAACTGTCCTGCGGGCTTTTGATTGAGACACAGCCAAACCCAGATTCTCAAGAAAGCAGCCCTGAAAAGCTGCGGTGTTTTCTTCAGCGTCCAGGTATCGCCTCAGTGAGCTTCCTCTTCAGCCACTGTCATCAGCCAAAGTCAGGGAAAAGACAAAAACAAACAAACAAACAAAAGGAGTAAGAAAACAAAAGCTATTTTAAGCAACCAACAGCAGGTGAAAGCGCGGACGCAGTCCCCACTACCACAGATTACGCAGTCGAGGTGTCCACACTCGGGGAAATAGCAGGGGTCAGCACGTCCGCGGGGCATGGACGGGCCTCGCGTGGGAAAACCACCTGCTTGATCCTGGCGTCTCCCCTGCCAGGTTAGTGGGACTCGCTCCGCCTCCGCCCCACACCAGTCTCACCCGCCTTCCACCGGACACACACGCTCACTCGCCCAGCCGCACCCCAACACCCTCGGCACCCACTCCTGTCCCAAGCATCCTCAGCCTCCACCCGACGCTTCCGAATGCGATGGAAGAAACCGCGCTGCTACTTCCTCAGTCCCGCGAATTCTAAGGCGCAGAACCGCACCGCGACGTTGCCTGGTTTACATCAGACCCGCCCCGTCTGTGACGTCAAGGGCTTCGCCTCAGTCCCCACCCCCACCCCCACCCCGTCTCCCTGCCCCCCAGCTCCCCTCCCACCTTGGATTTCAGTGCTGGTGCTCTTCCTTCTCTTCCTCTCCCTCCTCCTCCTCTTTCCTCCCTCCCCGCCTTTCCCTCCCCCTGTCCTGGCTTCCTTCCTCACCTTCCCAGTCTCCTCCATCTCCTTCCCTCTAGCCTGATTTGGTTACCACTCCTCCTCCCTGTCCCTGCAGCTCTGGCCCCCAAACCCTCCACACACACACACACACACACACACACACACACACACACACACACACGGCCGAGCACAGGGAAGGCTGCGCCAGCCAGAGAAGAACAGGAGGGAAGACTTTCCACCAGCCGACGCAGCACAGATACATCTCCCCGCGCCCTCTCTCTCCCTCTGCTGGGAACCTGGTTTGGAGACACGGAGTGCGGTGGCTGCACCTGTGGAGCTCAAACCAGTCCCCACCGCACCCCCCAGTCCTGGACACCCCGGGGGGAAGGGGGGAAACCAAAAGTCCGCAACCTCTGGGCCCTCGGGCTGACACCTGCCCGCAACACCCCACACGCTGAAAACATCCCGGGGCCTGCTGCTTCACCACGCGGGCTCCTAGGACAGGGATGGCGCGCCCCCTCGTGGCCGCGCGGGGAGGCGCCCAAGGGTCCCGCTGTTGAGGGCAGGGCCAAAGGAGACCACCCCTTCTGCTCACTTAGACCAGGCTCAGAGTTCTCCGCAGGGGGTTAGTGGGGTCCCAGGCTCCCCACTCTGCCACCGCCTTCCCTCCCTCCACCGCTGGGCGCTTCCCCCTGGATGGGATTTCTGCAGTCAAAGTCGGCCTTGGGAGGGAAAACAGCCAGGTCTGGAAAACTAAACAGAACACTTTGAAGAGATTTGGGCAATTGTATGGACATAGGTGGAGCGCCCTAGGATGCTGATTTGCCTTTGTCTTGGTTGCGCCTTGAGGTAGTGGTTTACTTTTACCGGACTGTTGAAATTAGAGAAGATTGGAGCGCGGAGAGGGGGCGTACAACTTTAGTTGTCACCTGAGATCATAGTGTGCTGGTGGGCAGAATAATGCCCACCCTCCCTAGGAGCTGCCTCCCTAGGAGCTGCCCATGCTAATGCCAGGAACCTGTGCCCATGTTCCATCCCGCAGCAAAAGGGACCCTGCCGAGGTGCTTATGTTATGGACCTTGAGATGGGGAGATGATCCTGGATTCTCCAGGCGGCCCCTTGCAATGACAAGGGGTCTTAAAACCCAAAGAGGCAGAGAGGGAGGTCAGAAGGAGGCTGTGTGAGGGGGACTCTGCCTGCGGGGGCTGGGGCTGGGGCTGAGCATGGAGGAGGGGCCTCTAGGAGCTGGAACAGGCAGAGAGACTCACTGTCTGCTTAACCGAAAAAATAGAAACTGCCAGATATTTTACCAGCAAAAACCGGATTCGTGGGGAATAAAAGGGAAAGGCGATTTCGGACAAACAGCTGTGGCAAAACCATAGGCCAGTCCCCAGAATAAAGGGGAGGTAAGCTCTTCTTTTTGGAGAGAAAGGGTCAGTTGGGAAGGCTGTTATAAAAGTCCATCGGGGTGAACTGTGGGTTGGAAGTGTGCTGGCGACTCCCTGGGGGACAAGGTTAGCGTTTCTTACTCTGGCCGGGATAGTAGAGGCCTATCCATGTGCATGTCAAGTCCCTGTAAGGTCAGATCAGTCTCTTCCCCTGGGGGCTGCGATGCCCTAGGAGGTAAGGAGGGCGGAGGAGCTCCCTTGCTGAAGCCTCAGGACTGCATTTTAGTGAGGTTTACCTTGACTTACTTCCACCCTCTCCTAGAGCCTCCAGAGGGAAGGTGGCCCTGTGGACATTGGATTTTAGTCCAGTGAGAGCCGTGTTGGGACTCTGCACCCTCAGAACTGTAAGATAAAAAAAGTGTGTGAGTGGAGCCCTTTCTGGGGTGTCTTCGGGAGCAGCCCCGCAGTGTCTGGAGGGGGGCTAGGCATCCCTGCCCCTCCTCTAGCGCCTGGGTTGCAGTCCAGGGATGTGACACAAGAGATGTGACACAAGAGATGGCTTCCCTCTCTCCCTAGGGAACAGAAGTCAGCCCCGGGCTCAGGGTCACCCATGAGACCCCCCAGAAAGGCTCTGAGGAAGCCCGGACTTGCCAGGAGGCCACTGGTAGTCGTGCTCACCTTCCTGCGGAGGACACTCGAGGCAACAGAAAGGAGCAGGGCGGCCTCACGTGCTTTAACGAGCCACGCCCAGCGGCCCAGGCCTTTTGCCCACAGACTGCAGGACACCATGCACTCAGTCCCGCGCAAGGGGCGCTGGGTCTCCTGCGCCCTCCCCCAGCGTCAAGCGAAAACTGTCTCCGAAAAGCCGACGAGACGGCGGCAGGGGAGCCGCAGAAGAAGCGCACGTCCCCGGGTTCACCCTCAGCCCCGGGTGGACCTCCACAGGCTGCGGGACGGGCCCTAAGAGCAGCGGCTGCCGCTGTACAGCGCCCCCCAGCGGCGGAGGCTGACCCGGGTTTGACGGGGGAGGCGGCGCTCAGTGGTGACGCGCGTGCGCAGACCAGGAAGGAGGCTCCCTGGCGGAGAAGCCCCAGGCGGTTAAGATGCCCCTGGGGGACCCGGACCCCATCCTCCTGCCAGAGATGGTGGGCAGCACGGAGGCTGTCTGCAATGGCTAGACCTTCAGCCAGGTGGAAATCAAGCCGCTACCTGCGCGAGGTCTCCATCACCTCCAAGCCTGGGAAGCAGGGCAGCCCTGCCTGGGCGTCCTGGAGCCCCCTGGTCCTCCTGCTTCATCCTTCTCAAGTAGCCTGTTGGGCCCCTAAGGGCAGAGGCTTCTCTTAAAACAAAACAAAACAAAACAAACAGTGCCCTTAGAGCTGGCGCAGTGCTTTGTAAATAGAAACTTGAAGGGGTTTCTTACTTCAACGTTTCACCTGGGCTCTGGCTACTACATCCTGTAAAAGTCTGTATTCAGAATCTACGTGACATTTCCCAACTTGATTTTAAAATACGGGAGCCACACCAATACGGACTCAGGGGAACTGGATTTACCCTCCTGCCCAAAAGAACAAAGCAACTACAAAGACAGGAAAGATGCATGAAATGCGCATTTCCAAGATACTGGGTTTCAGGCAAAGGGGACAGCCTCCCAGACAGGGAAACACACAGCTGAGCGGAGCCCTACAGCTGCTCCAAGGTACAGGCCAGAGAGTTTCCAAGCAATGCAGTGGGGGGCGGGGGAGGGACAGCAGAGATTGAAGAGGAGCCCTGGGGATCTCCTGGAGTTGAGGACACTGCTCTGCGAATCCCCAGGACAGCGTCCCCTGGAGGACAGGTCTGAGGAAAGTCACCTAGCCAGAGCTGCGGAGGAGCCCTGGGTCTGCATGCAGTGAGGTCCTGCTCAGGGCCTCCATGAGAGGCAAGGCCAGCAAGTCAGGGGGCAATCATTTGAAAGCAGTAGAGGGAACGGGGCCTGGAGCTCTCGCAGGCGAAATGACCCCTAATCAGGAGACAGATCAGTCATCTGAAAATAACCCAGAGCTGACACATGTGAGAACCGCCAGAGAAGGATATGAAAGCTTTTATTACAACTGTTTTCCATCAGTTGGAACTGTTAAACAGATAAATAGAAAATATAAACAAGACCCTATCTATCTTTAAGAGATGAAAACTACGATGTCTGAAAGGAAATGTACTACAAGGGTTTGACAGAATTTAGAAAATGCAGAAGTAAAATTTTGATAGAATTGTATTGAATCTGTAGATCTATTTGCATAGTATTGCCATATGAAATACATTAAATCTTCCAATGCATGCATACAGTTTTTTTTTTTTTTCCCATTTGGTCTTTCATCTCTCGCAGAAGCAATGTTTTATGCTTTTCAGTGAACAAGTCTTGCTTCTCCTTGAATGAATTTATGCCTAACACTTTTACTGTTTTAAGTGCCATTATAAATGGAATTGCTTTCTAAATTTCCTTCTCAGATTGTACATTGCTAGTGCATAGAAACACAACTGATTTTTGTACATGTGGAACCCTGCCACTTACGGAATGAGTCTATGGACTCTAATATTTTTGTGTGTGGATGATTTGAGATTTTTCTATCTTTAGGAGCATATCCTCTGTAAATAGAGATACAGGTTGACCCTTGACCAATGCGGGGTAAGGATGGTGACTCTCAAGATCAAAAACCTGTGTATAACTTTTGACTCCCCGAAAACTTTACTAATAGCCACTTGTTGACTGGAAGCCTCACTGATAACATAAAGTCGATTAACCCATATTTTGCAAGTTATATGTATTCTACACTGTACACTTCTAGTAGAGTAAGCTAGAGAAGAGAAAATGTTATTAAGAAAATCATAAGGAAGAGAACATATATTTAGAGTAATACACTGTGTTTATAAAAAAAATGCATGTATAAGTGTACACGTGCTGTTCCAACCTGTGTTGTACAAGGTCAACTGTAGTTTTATTTCTTC